GTGTGTGTGAGTGTGTGAGTGTGTGTGTGTGTGTGTGTGTTGTGTGTGTGTGTGTGTGTGGGCTGCTATAAGCATTTTCTCTGCTCTATGAAAGTGTATTAAATTCTTTCCAGCCCCACTTGTGGGTCCCACTAGTCCTATTTTTAAGACCGACATCACCTCAACTTGACTTAGAATTTTTATTGTCTTGAAAGACAACACCAAACAGAAAGATAGTTCCCTATCTGTTAGTTCCCTGGTAACTTGCTATCAACTGGAAGAGGGGCTCCAAAGTGTGAAATAAGTAAAAACATTCACTGCTTTAAATGAAGTCTTCCAATTGCCTACCGCTCTTCCGGCTTTTCCAACCCAAGCTCCACCCACTCCATTCCATCTGCCTCACAAATCAGCTAATGCAATGGCACCGGCCAAGCTAAAAGCCAGTGTCTCTTTTTGGTGAACTCTCAGTTATATATTAATAGCATGCAAATTGGGTTGCATACTAGCCCCATAAACTCTTTAATTTCAATTTCCTAACACTACCAGCATCCCATAATATTTTCAGACTTTCACACATTCTCTGAAGTCCTTCTCTTTCCCATCTTCCTCATCTTAGAAAATGTTATGTTCCATAGTCACAACTTAGCAGAGCAACTTCAAAGTCCACAGTCATCCCAAAGGCATACGGGCAGAAGACAATTTTATAAGAATCAATTCGGAGACGTCAGAATCCCCCATTCCTAAAACTACCAGCACAAGGAGAGTTCAGAAGTTCTCCTCCATCTGCAACCATCTTTGTACCAAGAACCCATTCTTGTAAGGACAAACTGGTCCAGGCTTCAGAAGCCTGTAGAGCATCAAGCCTCCCAGACAGCACAATATGCTGCCAGTCTAGAGTGCCAATCTTGGGAAAGAGAAATAGTAAAATATCAGAGATAGAGTTTAAAGTCACCAGTCCACTGGCGTCTAAAAGCTATCAAGCCATTTATCTTAAAATTAGAAATCAGAACTGAAATGCTTGGGAATACAGCAGTAGTTTATAGAAACAAACAACAGAAATGAAGACATAACTTTTCTTACCAAAAGTTGTCTGATTTCCTCTGATGGTTAGACAATTAAAAACCAGGTTTAAACAATTAGTTAGGGGAGAGACAGTGATAGAGAACAGAAAGGCAGACAGACAGATAGACAGATATGTATTTTACTTTCATTAATTCTCCAAAAAAGCTTAATAAATGAGAACCCCCACCAACCCTTGGACTTAAGCCCTCCCACTGCTATTTGCTACCACTCACTCAGTACAGAATTGCTGTGCTGAAGAAATTCACTTAGTATATTTCACATACTTCCTGAGAAGAAAAGCTCCCAGGACCCTGACTCTCACCAATTCATCCTCAGCACCTAAGGTAAACCCTAACTTGACTTATAATTGAAACTTAATAATTATAAATAAAGTTACCAGCATTAGTTCTTTGAAAGCCTGACTTGAGCACAGCTGCCTGTGTTTTGGTTCAGGAGGGTGAGGGTGATTCCTAAAGAGAAAACAGAGCTATCAGCATGTGACTACAATGCCACTGACTCACCAGAGGCAAGCATGCTGAGGTACTTTTTCCAGTAATAAGGATGAACTAGGCTGACTAAGCCATACGGTTACTCCTGGGAATAACAGCAGGCTCTTCTTATGTAGTCTGCCAGGATTTCAGACATAATTGTCGGACACAGAGCAAAAGTTGTTATTTTTTCTTTAAAGAAAGAATAAATGGCTCTTTGATTCTGACAAGGCTCAGAATAAAAATATGAGTAAGTGTACTATGACAGACATAGCTACCTTGTCTCTACACAAGGGTCAGGGCCCAAGTCTGATCCTTAGTGGGAAGCTGTACCTGGTGCTAGGGCACACTTCCCAGGCTTTCCACCCCGGGCTTCCAGGAGTACTGGCTATTGACAGAACAAAGCTGTGTCACCCAAGGTTGGGACTTCCTGTAGCCACAGTCCAACTATCAAGGACCTCAGCAGTGCCAAGGTTCACCACGTGACCACAGAATCCACTTAGAATTCTACTGTACCTGTGTCACATTTAATTGGCAATTTCCAAACCCTTAGTCCTGTCAGCACCATGGGGGCTGATTCTGGAATTGCTCAGACCCGCACACAAAGCTCACACATACCCTATCTCCCAGCACCCCACACACAGCAAGTATGAATGATACACACACAGCAGTTATGAATGACACACAGCATATATGAATGAAACAACTATTATAGGTATAGAAACCTGCCAAAGAGAAAATACATTGATTTTGTTTTGTTGGTTTTGTTTGTTATGGCTTTTCAAGATTGTTTCTCTATATAGCTCTGGCTGTCCTTGAACTCACTATGTAGACCAGGTGGTATGACTGGGAACAGCTAAGAAAATACATTTTCAAACCTTCACTGATTTACATAATAGTAAATTATAACAACAATTTAAATTTTCCTAAATGGGTCCAATGTCTTGTTTTTAAATCTGATACTACAAACCAATGAAAAGGCTGGTAACATTACTTCTATGGCAATTTCATTTTGAGAAAATAATGTATGATTAAAAAAATTAGGTGTCCTCACACACACACACACATATGGACTTTTAGATATACTCACGGGAGAAAAATTTGAAGGGGGAAATTTAAGCTGAATTAATCCATTTGTATCTTAAAATAAATCTATAAATTATTTTATAACAAAGGTGATAAAGGAAAACTACACAGATTCAAGGAAAAAAATGGTCTTTTGCCTAAAGATCAAACACTGAGAAATACATAGTGAAAATAAAGGTAAGGGAAAAACAACTTATTTTATTCTAAATAGAGTAGTGAATTTCTTTGATGAAGGTTAGGATCTAAAAGCACAGAGATTAAAGAGCTAAGATTTAAAAATCATGATTTTTCAATAATCAATATTTATCCCAGGCCACAACTACAACCTTAATTGCCAGGGTGGAGAGCCCTTGCACTGCAATGGCTGTAATTCACCAGCAATTAGAAAGAGGTTCTCAAATATACCCTATCACCTAGCACTCAACCATACTTCTTTGTTCTAAGTTCTCCCTCTGATCTAAGACGTTTTGAATGTCTTGCAGTTATTGCTTCACTGGCACTTCTATGACTCATAATTATTTTTAGGATCAAAAAAATCTAACATACCCATCGTCCTGTTTGCCGGTCCTCCCGAGTGTAAGGAGAGCTCACCAACTTCCCATTGACAATTCAATTAACTTTCTTTATCCACAAACACT